TTGTCATGATGGTGGAAAATGCACATTACTGTGACCATATCAAAGCAACCAATCTGTTGAACAAAAGATAGCCATTTTGGCATAACATCCTGCTTAAATTATTCAGACATCTGACAGAAACCAAATACATGACAACACAACCAACTCCTAGGGCACTAGAGCAAGACTACATGAAACTACTGCGCTGAGAACTTGTGGTTTCTAGTAATAAACATAGTATTTCTGCAAACCGCTTGGTGCCACCATGAAGAGGGAGTTATTCCAGTCCTGCCTGCAAAACTCTCTCCTCTGTAAAATGTAATAAACTCTAATTTTATGGTCAGGAATGCAATCCAGTCTTTCAAGGTCAAGGACCACAGTTATGAATGGCTTCCCTTGTTAGACAGCTACAGCTAAGTCACTGACCTCACTGCTACAATACAAAATGGTGCAGGATTTGAGACTTGGTGCCATATACGGAGCAAAACAAATACACAAGTGAGCTAACACACCCAGCAACCATCTAAATGGCCAGAGCTGGTTTGTTGTTTTTTTTAATACAGTGTTGCATGCCACCAAAAGCGACATCCCTTTAGGCTTGAGGTAATATTATGAAAACCCAAAGGATTCTCATGGATGCTAAAAAGCAAGGGTTTGTTGAGCCAGCCTGGCAAATATGTACCTCCTTCCAACAGTTGCTGCCTTACCAAGGAGTGACATGTGCAAGTACAAACGCCAGGTGTCAGGGACTGTCAAAAAAAAGATGCTTTCCATACTGCAAGCCAAACCCTACTCTCAAGCTTTTTTACCGGAGGGGAAAAAATAGCACCTAGATTGAAAGCAGAATGGACTCAATTGGTGCAAAGCCTCTGTGTAGGCATTCTTAATAACACACCAACCCCTAATAGATGCCCCTGCTCTGTAAGGGGGTGCGGGGAGGCTCTCTTACCCCTCTCACACAGCCTCTGCTTACAGAAACCACCAAAAGGGCTGCTCCAAATCAACCTCCACCACTTATAAAATCATAGAAAATGAGAGCTGGAAGGGACCTCAGGAGGACATCTCATCTCATCTCAAAGCAGGACCAGCCCCAACTAGATCATCCCAGCCAGAACTCTGTTGAGCCGGGTCTTGAAACACTCCAAGGATGGAGCTTCCACCACCTTGCTGGGTAACTCATTCCAGTGCTTCCCCACCCACCTAGTGAGAAAATTCTTCCTAATATCTAACCTGCCCCCCCCTTGCTGCAACTTGAAACCACTGTTCCCTGTTCTGTCATCCCCCACCATTGAGAACAATCTAACTCCATCCTCTTTTTAGTGCCTCTTCAGGTAGTTGAAGGGTGATATCAAATCCCCTCTCACTCTTCTTTTCTTCAGACTAAATAACCCCAGTTCCCTCAGCCTAACCTCATAAATCATGTGCCCCAGCCCCTGAACCATTTTTCTTGTCCTTCGCTGGACTCTCTCCAATTTGTCCACATCTTTCTGTAGCAGGGGACCCAAAACTGAATACAGTGCTCTAGATGTGCTATTTACCAGAGCGCCCCAGGGAGTAATCAGGAATAATGGGTGCAAACTAGTGGAGAGTAGATTTAGGTTAGACATTAGGAAGAATTTTTTTTACAGTAAGGGTGGCCTGAGGAATGGGCTTCCACGAGAGGTGGTGCTGTCACCTAGCTTGGAGGTCTTCAAGAAGAGGCTAGATAGACACCTGGCTGGGGTCATTTGACCTTGGTCCTCTTTCCTGCCAGGGGGCCGGACACGATGGTTCCTTGTGGTCCCTTCCGACTCTACTATCTATGAATCCATGTGGCCTCACCAGTGCAGAACAGAGGGGAATAATCACTTCCCTTGATCTGCTGGCAACACACTTAGCAATTCAGCCCAGTATACTGTTAGCCTTTGTGGCAACTAGGGCACACTGCTGGCTCACCACACAACATATTGGTCAATGAAGACCGCAGCTACAGGGGATGGCAGAAAGCCCGCCCCAAGCGAGCGGGGGCAGCACCAGGGGACGTGTGGCGGCGGCGATGCAAGTACTGCCTTGCTGGTAGCCAAGCAGCTACTCCCCATCCTAGGTGCATGTAGAGACAGGATGAAGGCTAGCACGCGGGCAAAACCTGGGGGCGGGAGCAGGCCAGGGCAACCCCGCAAAGCGCGTCCGGGAGCTGCTCCCTCTGGAGGCTGCACCGGGGGGTGGGGGGGACCTGCCGCCCCGCGCATGCGCCCCTTGGCGCCCGGCGGGGGAGAGGCGCGCGCCGGGGTGCTCTGCCCCCCACCCCCGGCGCGCCACGCGGCTCCTTACCTACTGCCGGCCCACGCTGGAACCCCCCCGCCCTCCTGCAACCCTACCCTCCCCTCACGTCACAGCCCGCGGGCGCGTGTCCAGGTCCCCCGCACGCACCCCCTTGCCGCGCGCGGGGCTTGGCACAGTGACCCCGGCGCGCGCTGCAGCACAGCAGCCCTGCCAGCCACGGGGCAGGGCCGCCGGGCGCCCTGGAGGAGCTGTGCCCACCCCGCCGCCTTGCCCAGGGCATTGGGGCCTGGGTGTGTGCCAGCCCTCTGCCCCGCTCCCCACTGCCCATGGCCACGCGCCAGGCCGTCAACCCTCGGCCTCCCATGCCCCTAGGGGAGTTGGCCACTATGGGTCACCAGGCCAGTAGGGTCCATAACCGAGTGCTGGTTTGTTTTATCCTTCCCCTTCCCCCACAAAAAAACCCCAAAAAATAACAGTTAACCACTGAGGACAGATTAATAACTATTATGGGTGCAACTACACTTCACCATATGGTTGCGTGCTACAGTGCTTGCTTTAGTACTTCTTTTTGGAAGTACTAAGCATGGCGCATTATGGGTGGCTATTGCGCTACGCACACGGTGCACGGTTAGATTTGGCCCCTTTGTCGCCGTAGTGGCACGCTATAACGGGACCGGGCTACAGCAACATCTCTGGCGATCGTGTGTGGACCCATGTGATTGCTACAGCGACAGTGCGCTGTACAGCGATGTAGCATGTCACTACATCGCTACAGGGTGATTCCCTATGTCTACAAATCTCCCAGGGCTGTAGAAATGCAACCAGGCCAGCCCCTTATGCCCCAGGCTCATGGGAATGGGAGTTCAGATGCTCCCCCTATCCCAACTGGCATCCTGCAGGCAAGTCCCGGAGGCCTGGGAGTTCGATGTGCCCTGTCACACTTGGTCGGAGCCAACAAGCAGAGCTGGTTCAGAGCCTCTGCTGTTTGCACTGAGGTGATGGCCCCCATGGTTTAGGAGCCTTGGCTGCTCCTCAAGAGGCACTCCATGATGTAAGGGCAATTCACTAGATTCTGGAGGTCTTCATAGGTAAGCCTGGATTCATTGCGTCAGAGGCGACTGGTGCCTCCCAAGTCGGGGGGCACCAGCGGGGCATGACTGGGGTTCGGGGGGTCCCCTAGCGGCCAGCCTGCGACTAGTGGGGTGGGTCCCCCAGCAGCCAGCTGGCAACCAGGAGCTGCCAGCAGATCCAATTTCAGGGGAGGCACTAGCACTCTGCATGCCTCCCTACCAGCTGGAGCACTCGCTGACAAGGGAGGAACCAGCACTCTCATGGGGCGCACGTGACCCCCGCGCCTATGCATTGCACGTCAGTCATATTCTTTTATTATTGCTGTATCTCTTCACAGGGACGAGAAGATCCTGACAGGAACCAGGCTTGCCAGCGCTCATCTGTGCACTCTTCTAACAGTTCTCAGGCTGCAGGCAGTGGCACATCAATCAGTTGTGCATAGATAAGTTCCCGGCCTCTACTAGTGCAAAGTATTAAACCACTGAGAAGACAGAACTGAGGTAACTGTCTGCGAGGTGTGAATATCTGCTCCCCAGAACCTCCTGGCTAGTTTTGCTTTTGACATATTCATATATTCAATCTCACAATCCCCCTGAGCGCTAAGTGAAGGTTATCCCTAGTTTGCAAACAGAAAACTAAGGCACAGAAAGGAGGACTTGATCAGGAAAATGCTTTCAGAGCCAAAAATAGAACTCCTAAATGCCAGCCAGAACACCCTCCTTTCTCTTCCCTTAGAGTGAAGGAGTTAAAATTATTGGGGAGGGGAGAGGGATGAATGAGCTTTGAGCTTTATCCGTCTCTTTATGACTCATAAAAAGGCCTAAAGGGATTATCATCTTTTAAAATTCTAGTTATTTTTTTACTTTCAAAATACCACACTTTGTCTCCTCTGCCTGAGACATCATAGCTCTTGGTAGAAGTGTACTAAATTGCTTATCTTTAGTAAACAACTTTCCAAAATTCTCCCAACTTTGTCAGACATTCAAGTTAAAAAGAGTTCAGCTTAAAAATACCCTTCCTGCCAAGGAAGTCACTTTATTCTCAGTTTCCTTTTAATCAAATTTAACTTCTTTAATACAGCTACTAGTTCTCCTGTTATCCCCAAAGCATTTACAGAAAAATAGGGTACTTAAAAAAAAAGAATTTCTAATATATTAATCATATGGAAGAAACACTTAAAACACTTTTTTTTTAATAAAAGAAAAATCTAAAGGGAAAAAAATGGGCAGAAATCAGTCTTATTCCTATCCAGATTACCTTATAATATTGACATGCAAAGCTTCATTTTAAGACAGATTTTTAGCCGCCTTTTCATTCTAAAAATAAAAATCTTTAAATTCATAACACTTTCCCCTCAGTAGGTAGCAGAACTTTTCCACAAAATGTAAAATAAATTGTTCAAATATCTTCTGAGTCTGAAAACATTAAAATTGCTCCTCCTTAATGCTCTTATGATCTAACTAGCCAATTGCCCGTCAAGAATGACGGAGTGGGGGTGGGGAGGGCTGGGATGGAGTGCCTCCACCTAACGTCCCATGCTGCCGCTGTTCTGCCTCTTGCAGGGAGCGTGGTGTGGGAGCTGAAGCCAGCACTGCTGGCCCTGGCTCCCCGCCCATCTGTCCAGTCCTTGGCATGGCTTCGGAATCATGGCAGTCCTCCCCCACGCTTGGAGCACTCCAATTGGCTGTTTCCGGCAGCCTATCAGAGTGCAAATAAAGCGTCACGGACAGACAGACAGACTTAAGCTTTTATGATATTAGAATTTTTGTGTCTGTCAAGTGAAAATAAGCCATAAAATTCTAAAACAACTGATTTTAAAATTGGATTGTACAATAATCGGTTTTCAGATTAAAGGTTGCAGCCGTTACCTTTTATACTGTGTCCTTATGAATCTTAGAAGTACTTCTTAAACAGGTCAAATTTTAGGGCTCTTTTTAACTGCTTGCAAAACGCAAAGAAGCCTCATGTACCCAAAATTTGGGCCTGTAATTGCCATTGACGTTGTGTCTCATAGTAAAGAAAATTATAACAGAACTAACTTTGCGTTCTCTTACTTGTATAGATCGTGGTGTCCCAAGGGTCTGAAGAGAAACTTTCATGTGACAAACCATAATCATATGCTGAAATTTATTTTGCAAGCCATTAGTATTGATCTGGCCAATCAAATCTGTATTTCACTATATTATAACTTTAGTGTACTAATAACAACACCTCTATTCTTGTTATAAAATAACAGGCCACATATCTCATAATGGCACATATCTTGTAATGCTGCTATTGCTTCATTGTAGCCATATTTCAACTAAAAAGTAAAAATGATTATCTGTCTCACCAGAGGTAAATAAGATCTTGATCTTAATAAAATGCATGCATGTTTTTTCTTAAGAGTAGTTCTGTTCATGGCTGCTACTCACACGAATACAGTTAAACACGTGCATACATGTTAGCCAAACTTTACTCAAATTAGTATCAGCTGATAGAACCACTTGTGTAAATAAAATTAAACACGTGTACAAACCTTTACAGGACTGGGGCCTAAAAATTTCCATCTGTTGCCAAAACAATCTTGAAGCTTGAAGTTTATAAAATTATTTTTGTTTGCTGCTGAATGAGTTTCATTGGCAATCCAGTCTGATTCAGCGTGCAGTGAGTCATGTCTCAATATCGCTTTCTTGTCTGCTCTTCTAGATTTTATTTGCTTTAGAAACATTTAATAATTCAGAGGTATAATGTAATCAATGCAGTGGACGTGTGGCCAGTATTTTAATATGTTACGCCACTTCTGTTTGTCTTGACTCTCATCCCAGAAATTATGCATGTTTCAGTAGTTCCAGTACATGTGGAAAATGTTTATTGCCCTATTCATACATCTCCAGGGGCGTTTTGAATGCTGTTGACCTGAATAGTGATTTTGCTCTGAGTATATGATAGATCTTGTGCTTGATTAAAACACATAGTTTCACTTAAAAAAAAACCCCAAGACATCTCAAAATATGAACATTCAAGATGTCTTATAAGTGGAATGAAGTAAGTGTTACTTCACTGGTGTTTTGAAAATACATAAAATCATAGAACATTTGCATCCAAAACATCAATATTTGCCAAAAGGAAAGGGACTGTTGCTCGATAGCCTTAAACACAATCAAGGGAAGGCCTTTTGTTTTTAGACTGATTAATTAATATTGTTTTTAGACTGACTAATTTGTTTTAGCTGACTAATTAGCTCCGCAGTAAAGTGTTACTGTATACACATGCACCTGTATTAGGGCACAGTAAATTAAGTCGTCTGTAGAATAGTACTATCTGGGACAAGTACTGTCCCTACAGCAGACTAGTTATGTGCTCTGAAATGCACATGTAGACAGTGACTAGAGCTGGCTGGGGCACGAGGGTGCTACAGAGCAGGGGCTGCCTGCTGGCTAGCCCCACACTGTAATACCCTCATGCCCCAACCAGCCCCTCCATGGCATGTTGAGCCAGGGCGGAGCAGCCCCAGGCTGGCAGGCTGACCTGCTGGGCCTCCTGCCAGCCATGACTGTTGTGCCCCACTTCAGCATGCTGCTGTCCCAAGTGCACGTGTAAACACTGCGCTCGGGAGCAATAAACTCTGGCACAAACAGTAGAAATAAACAAACTGTGCCAGAGTTTATTGCTACATGCTAATTGCTAATTGCACATTTTGATGCACCCTGTATGTCACTGTGTGTAAATTTGTAGACAACTAAATTAATTGGTATTTTCCAATTTCTGCTGCTTCTAAGGCCTTTTATTAATGCTTTGAGAACTGAGGATTTCAAAAGCAAGTGTACTTTTCCAACACTAGAAGTTACAACAGCTACTTTTTGCACTTTTTTCAGTATGAACAGTCAAACTTACATCAGTCAGTTTTAGTTTCTGGTTCATTTGCGTTAACCATGGTGTCATTCATGGTTTCCATAACTGCAGAGGAATATGTTATGCTCAATGATATTTTTAATATGTTAATGCACTTTTGTACACATCCACTTTTGCAGATCCTTCTACACACACTCCTCTCTGCTAAGACGCTATATTTGGGAACAGAAGCTACTTGCCAAAATCTCTTTAAATGGGTTCTTTTTCTCTGCACCAATATCTTGAGCTCCTTACTCAGACAAAATTCTCCTGGAATGCAGCTGGGACTAAGTCAACATTCAGAAAATATCTCACGAGTTGGTTCAGACAGGACAAAAACATATGGCTTGGTGTGTTTTTGACCAGGTCAGCTGATCCATATGTAATCACTTACTACAGGGGTTTTCAGCCTATCCAGCCTTATGCTCAGGGTTAGTCTGCAGGTGTGATCTGGGCACACCAGATCTGACCACAGAACAATTTCACGTCAGCCCAATCCTGCATGCCAGATCCATCCACATTGAGCCATATCATCCAGCCCGTGGGACTCCCCACAGGTCTGGATATTTGGTGGCAAGGGGACTGATGGGAGCATTTATTGCTGTGACTGGGAGCAATTAATTCTGCCACCATGTCCCACTGCCAAATTTCCAGACTTGTGGGGAGCGCCACACACCAGATTACACAGTTCTGTGGGCCAGAGGCCAGTCCCATGATCCGGATCCAGCCCAAGGGCCATAGGTTAAGCACCACTCACCTATTATATGTAATCCTAGTGCATCTTCTCCCACCACAAAAATCAGTTTGTCAAGTATTAGTTCTTTCTCAATTTCTTCGTAATCCACTTATAGTATGTTACAGGATCTTGATTGGTAAACCTGAACCAGAACCTTGAAATCAGACACCACAGAACACTGGGAAAATTTAGGTCCTGCACTTGGGAATTTGAACCCACCTCCACTTGTTTATTGTTAAATGTGAATGTAAGCTAGTATGTAAGTCTTTTTCTGATCATTCCAGGACTCACATTCTTCAAACAGTAAATCATAATTAACACTATCAACTCTTTAAGTAGATCAAGGTGCACTTTATCCAAATACGATCAAACAACACACTATTATCTGTACACTCAGTCTTTGCCATTTCAGGGGATTGCAATTTAAAAAAGCTTTGCCCTCTGGACATGAATACATAGTACATGCAGTTAGGTCATTAGATTGGACTGTTGAACAGGGCTTTCTCCCACATTAAAAAGCAATGAGATTGGGCAGTAAATCTGAAACCTCTTCAATTCCATTTGCCTAACATAAAAACTTTTTCTTGGTACATGAATCCATAATGGCAGGCTTCTTATATAAGGAAAAGATATTGATGAAGCAGTTTTGGATGCAATTTAGCATGGTACAGTCTTATAGAAATATTGGAATTTTTGACCACATATAACAAGATTTTGGGTTACTTAAGGACATTTTTATTCATGTTGCCTGCTTCCAAGGTGCTAGTGTATTTCTGGTATATAACCTTGCAGGTTATTTGCTCACTGAAGGAGAAATCAATCATACAGAGTCAGGTACTTTATTAATATGATTTCGTCATACAAAATATGCAGGCATCTTGTTTCTTTCAA